GTTTTACACTTTCCGTCATTTCCCTGATTCTGTGTATGGACAAGAAGTCACCTCGTTTGTCGACTTTCCGAGATAACTTGACCCTAACATGACTATAATCTGGTCTCTTGGCTTCTGCCAAGGTCCCGCCATAAGCTGGTGAATTGCGTGTTGATTTCAATACATCTTATCTTTGAAACATAAACCAGCCGTTATCTGAAGGAAGGTGATGATCCGAATGTTATGAACAGCATTAGTTTTTCATCACCCTGTGACAATGCGTCATAAATTATTTGGTCAATTATATGATTGTTTATTTGAGATAAAAAAGGCATCGACACAATGACAGTCATTTAGTGCTGGGAAAAAATAAGACAGACATACCGCTAACTCAGAATTGCAACGTTCTATCTGACATTTTTGGCCGGTTGAGTTACTAAGACCATGAAGTCAGAAACCAAAATGTTCTATCTGCTCTACCAAAATCGTGTGATTATTCGGAGTCGTTATCAAGATATTTAAAGAGCTGCTTTTGAAAAACTTGACATGTCGTGAAGCTCAACATTTTTAATGTCAAATTTCTAAAAACTAGACACTGAGCAGAGAGAACTTTGTAATCCCAAGGTGCCGGTAGCGATACAGAAACAACAGAAGGAAAGTATTTTTAAAAATCCCTAGTCCCCTTTTATATGAGATTGACGCCATCTGATTAGTAGAAAAAGTGCGTATGATAGTGTCCAATAGTGTATTTCGTGCATACTTAGTATAACAAGTAACTGTAATGGCATATAGAGATTCAAGGATGATAGATGTATTGTAAGTAATATTGATCTGAGAGCGGTGATGATTATAGATAATGGTGGTGATGAGTGATGATGTGGGATTGCGTTTAAGTAATGTTAACGTTAGTCCTATCTTTTTCTGCTCCAATGAGTCACGAGGGACGTGGGCACCCTCTATCCCGTTCCTTACAGGAACCATCTTTATGGTCACCAAGAAGTTCCGAAATGGAGGGCACAGTCTCTGCTGAGGTGACATTGTTAGTGTTAGCCTATTCTATCAGGCAGAAGGAAAGTACATAAGAGGCCATACCAGTGGCGTCCTCCAGCCATCCGAGGTCAATAGATCTAATGTAATATCGGTTGTTCACCTCCCCCGCCCCTACAATCAAAGTCAAAGTCACTAGTTTTCTACGTGCCTTCAAACCATTCCATGGCTTGTTAATTCTGTTTTTCTGCGTGTCCTCAATATCTTTAGTTTTTTTTCACGTAACTTCTCCCAGACCATTCAACATAATGACAATTGACGGCTGAGCTCAAGAAGTGGCTATGTTCACGTTTCACCCTTTCGAGAAAAACGAGAGTGAAATTTTGACGAAATTGACATCTCGATAACATTCTAACGTAGTAATAAAAAAACAACAAAAACCCTCCAAAAAACACAGACAATACAAACAAACAAACAAACAAACAAACAAACAAGCAAACAAACAAACAAACAAACAAACAAAAAAAAACAAAAAAACAAACAAACAAACAAATAAACAAAACCCATTAATACCTCGATGTCGAATTAAGCTACGGCTTTGATATTTACAAAGGAAAAAGAACAGCTTCAAATTTCACTACCCATATCGATTACTCCATTTCGACCAAAATAAAGTGGATATAGAGTCACTTCTTGCGCCCAGCCATAGTAATGCTAGGCCAGGGGAGATCTTCTAACGATAATATAGAAAACGGCAGATTGAATTATTGAGTCACTTTTCAGGACTGGTCTTGTTTCTTTGCTTAAGTTTAAGTAAAGTGAAGCACGTCGACAAGATAACTGTCATTTAGTGGACGAATAAAACTCAAAAAGCAAGATATGAGACGGCAAAGAATAGTCTGCTGTCCACTCGACAAACAGAAATGTAGGGAAGAAGAAAGGGAAGCAGATGAAAAGGCGAACATTCAATAAACACCATCACTGAGTGGACATGAAATCCTCCAGCACTGAACATTCTGGCACATAGATATCTAGTAAGTTACATCGTGAAGGTGATCACCATCTGTTCCGTCAAGTTTTTGAAGAAACAGAGTAAAAAACCCCCACATTTTCCTTAGCCTCTTTCATACACCTGCGCTTGTCCCACTGATAGCGACCGTTCCACTAAATCAGTTTATCAATTGTAAAGGAGAAAGTAAAACTGGGTTATTGTATATCAGTGAGGTATACATCTAAACAACGTGCTATCAAATTCTGTTACGTCTCTATCCCTAGGCTTTCTATCCACATCGAATGGGAAAGAGCGTTGTTGTTATTATCGTTCTTGTGGCTGGGTTGTTTTGTTCTTTAAAAAAAATAGCTTTTTGC